AGCAGGGTTATCCCAAGGGTCTCTTCCAGGTACTAGATGGAGTCACAGGGACTAGGAGGCCATTTGCATGCAGTTTGCATACATTTACATAAGCCTGTCTGAGCCCTGTAAGTCTGAACAGAGGTGATTTTCAAGGGCTGGATTCTTATTACCTTTCCCTTGAAGACTGTCACCCGTAACGGGGTCCTTCTTTATTAAATGTATATCAGGAAGCAGGTCGTTGGAGGTTGAAAGAAGATAGAATCCTAACCAAAAGGGAATGAGTCTATTAGGAAAAGCTTTATATTCTTTTAGTTCCTTTAGAGCAAAACTAAGTATGTATGGAGCACCGACTATTCACCAGATGCATTTTTAGATGCTGGGAATTCATATTGGATGTCAGACCTGCTCACTTTACCAGTAATTCTAGTAAAAGAGATGGTTATAAAAACAATTAACAAGCAGAGAAAGAAAAAAGATAACTCCAGGTAGTGTTAACAGCCGTACAGGAAATAAAACTGGGAACTGAATCAGGGAGTAGCTCAAAGGCAGTGAAGGGAGTGGCATTAAATAGCTTTCCCTGGGAAGACACAGGAGACCTAATCAGGTCAAAGTTGTCAAGAGTGAAGGGGTCAGTTTAGACCAGCCGTGGGCAAACTACGACCCGCGGGCCGGATCCGCCCGTTTGAAATGAATAATACTAAAAAAAAAATAAAAGACCGTACCCTTTTATGTAATGATGTTTACTTTGAATTTATATTAGTTCACACAAACACTCCATCCATGCTTTTGTTCCGGCCCTCCGGTCCAGTTTAAGAGCCCATTGTGGCCGTAGCCGGTTTGGCTCAGTGGATAGAGCATCGGCCTGCGGACTGAAGGGTCCCAGGTTCGATTCCGGTCAAGGGCATGTACCTTGGTTGCGGGCATATCTCCAGTGGGGAGTGTGCAGGAGGCAGCTGATCGATGTTTCTCTCTCATCGATGTTTCTAACTCTCTATCTCTCTCCCTTCCTCTCTGTAAAAATCAATAAAATATATTTAAAAAAAAAAACATTCAAAAAAAAAAAAAAGAACCCATTGTGGTCCTGAGTCAAAAAGTTTGCCCACCCCTAGGCTAGATAGATAGAGGAGAAAGAGAATAGATAGCAGATAGATAGCAGATAGATAGATAGACAGGCAGAGGGAGAGGTTACTTGGTCCAAGGAAATGAGGAAGAGAAAAGCAGATGAGAGAAACATGATTTTTTAGGCCATCTTACATACCTCTGAAAAATCTCTTTCTTTGAGGAAATGAAAGACCTTTGGTATAACTTCTCTTTGACAGTTACATCAAAGTGAATTGATGGGTCCACACCCAGTGAATGGTGAGTGCAAATGAAGAATTCAAGACAGCTGATAAGGATGCCTACAAGAAAAACCTCACTTGAGTAGTATTAAAAAACCTGGTCTCCACTGCCAGTAAAAGTGGGGCAGAGGGAAGAAGGGGCAATAAGTAAATAATTCATTTAATATAGCTCCATATAGATTTCTTTCACAAACTCAAGATTTCTATGGACTAGAAAGAGAATGTTAAATATGGTTAGGTAACGCTGTAGCTTTATTTGCAATCAGTTTTCTCTCTTTAAAAAAAAAAAATTCAAATAACTTGCTGTGAACATCCGTTCCCAGGCTCTCATGAGTTGGGTATTTTCTTCTTTGAGAAGCAGTGAGATTTTAGCTGGCCAAATTGAAGTCATTCTCTGCATTCATAGGACACACATTTTGAAATCTTTGGGGCAATATTTATTTTTATATCACTATAGAAACTCCTAAAAGACAAGATGTGGTTCATGTGAGAGAGGAAGTTGTCAGTATGAAGTTTAAAAACCATTGGGACAATAGGTATCAGAATTTTATGTCTCTTTCTGTAGGTCTGAAATATGACTAAGGATTTCCCATTAAGAAGTCTCCCAATAATTCAAAGACAACCTTTTGAAAAACTCTATCCTAAGAACAGCGTGGGGACTGTAAACAGGCTAGCTTATTAAAGTTGGAACTGAAAGTTCATAGAAACCAAACATTTTCTCAGAATATTCTAGAAAGTCCTTAAGTCCACTGGAGGCATATCTGTTGAGATGTTGGAGCCTCTTAGTGGGTCAGTAGATTTTGGTCACCTCTCAGTTGTTCTTACAGGCACATCACTTAGGTCAGACATTGGGGTATCATACCTCTCCCTTCTGGAAAGAGCTGAGAGTTCTTCTCGGCAGAAACACCTTCCCACAATCCCAACTTTCATCACTGCCTTTGCTCAGGGACATTCACTCGAAGCCTCCTGTGTTTGACCTTCAGCCCAAGGACACAGGTTTTCCACAAAAGGCAGCACACCTGTCCTTCACTGCCTTTCAGGAGTTCCATATAATGGATGTTTTCATAAAGGCATGCCAACAGGGGCAGGAAACGATCACAAAACCCTAAAACATGCTCATTCTTCTGAGATTGTTCCCTGAATAGTGTCCAGTGGGTCTCTCATAAGGGTAGCTTCAGGATTGGCAAATATTCTTCTATGCTGTTTTCTTGAGTAAAAGTTTTTGAAGGGCCATGATTCATTTGACAGAAAATGCTCCTTCCAAAACTTTTGGAAAATTACAGCATTCTGATCATCTCATATACAGGTTATTTGAAAGTCACCTTAGATATCATGCATGTATTGATTAGGAATTGTTATGGCTCTTGAAGGCAACTGAAATATATCCCATATTTAATCTCTACCAGATAAATGTCATTTTCTTTAGGATTTAAAAAACACTTTGGAAGTGTACAGTCTCCGGGTCATAGTTGGGAATTACAATTATCATAATACTAGCGACTAGGGAAGAGCCTGAGTCACTCCTCGGCTCATCTTGGCCCTGCTGTGCCTGCTGCCACTGCTTGGTAGGCTCACTGATCAGTGCTCCTGCATTGAGCATCTGCCCCCTAATGGCCAATGAATATCATAGCGACCTGTGGACCTGTCATTCGGTTGGTCAGTTGCTTTGGCTTTTATATTTATAGACTATAGACCCAGTGCAGGAATTCGTGCATGGGTGGGGTCCCTAGGCCTGGCTAGCGATCAGGGCTGATAGGGCCGGACCGATGGGGGCTGGGCCGATCGGAATCGGGGCCTGCCAGCCAGGGGGTGAAGGATGGGGGAAGGGACCGTGGGAGGTTGGCCGGCCCTTATCGGGATGGGTCAGGGCCAGCTGGCTGTGGGGAGAGACCAGCTGGGTGGGGAGGAAATGCAGGAGGTTGGCTGGCCAGGGAGAGGGACCTGGGGAGGTAGGCTGTGGGAGCACACTGACCACCAGGGAGCAGCTCCTGCATTGAGTGTCTGCACCCTGGTGGTCAGTGCGCATCATAGCAACTGGTCGACCGGTCGTTCCTGTCTTTCTAGTCTTCAGTCGTAATGGTCACTTAGGCTTTTATAAATATACTAGAGGCCTGGTGCACAAAAATTTGTTCACTCGGGCGGGGAGGGAGGGTCCCTCAGCCCAGCCTGTGCTCTCTCGCAGCCTGGGACCCCTCG